CGATGGCTCTACAGGACTATCTGGAAGAGGTTCCACGCGCGTCGTGTGTTTCCAGGGGCCCACGGGTGAGCATGACATTCAAATTTCTATGCTTGCAATGTTGCGCAACATTGTTGTGGCTTTTGGTCTGCCAGTGACGGAGTTACTTTGAATACCTAGTGCCGCGACGTGATGTGCTTGGCCCCTGCAATATAAAAGATGCCAAGGTGGAAGTCGATGATCCCCAGAACGTGTCTTAGCCCGAATTGTTTACCCCGCTCAGCACGAGCGACAGCACGCAGCCTGTGGCGGCCCTCATTACGCCGCCTGCATCCTACAGTCGGGGGCTTGACCTAAGGAACCCTAAATAAGGAACGAGGCCCCTTTTATCCATAAGTTAAACTTCGATTTCCGATCGAAGACAGAAGGAAAACCTGAGGCAAGCTGTGAAACACTTCAGGAACGCGGAGCCCCTCCCCAACGAAAAGGGTTCCTTCCTCAAGGCCACGACTGTATTGAAGATCTCTGGTGGACAAGCACGCGTTGACGCTGGCACACGTCTGGAGGATCATCGAGAAAGGGTCGGGGCTCCCAGAGGCCACCGGTGGAACAAAAATCAAGACGCCCGACCTCTGGGCATCGAGGGGGAAGAGATATACACCTTAGGCGATGCTTAAGAAAACCTAAGTTTTCGGCCAGAGTCTCGATTATTCTTAATGTTTCAATGTAAATCCTAAGATTTGAATGGACATTCTGGGTTTTTATTTGAATTCTGAGACTCTCAATTTCTTAACCCATGATTTCTAAAGCATTTCGCAGGGTGTACGTATGCCGGCGCCGCTGCCCATGCATCGTCGCCGCGGCAGGAGTTGCGCCGTGGAATATCTGGACATGGCGATCGTGGGCGGCAGGTTTTCTGCCACTTTCGGCTTCTAGGGGCCCTCGTCCGGCCCCCGGACCATCAAACAAATATTCGGTATGAAAAACTCACCCTGGGGACAGGGTCGGAACTTTTGGAGACCCTGGATAGGAAAACCAACGCATCATAACCCTACAGGGGTACGTGAGGTGCCGGTGCCGCTGCGCATCCCTCGTCGCAGAGGCCAGGTTCGCGTCGGAGTCATGGTCAGAGCGCTCCCCGGGAGAGAGGCCTCGAGGGGGCAGCGGTGAGTACCGGCCCTGAGATCCGACGTTGCGAAAAACACTGCGACATCGCGAAAAATCACGACCAGAGCCTGGTGCAGTTTTCGAGCCGGGTCGATCTGTGATGGTCCCGCGGGGCCCGAAACCAGGTGACAACGCCCGCCTGGATCTCAGGGAAGGGTCGGGACTTCTGGGGGCCCCGTGCTCACACCAAAGAGAAGACGCATCGGATCTCCGGGGGTCGGAGGGGCAAGAGATGTGCCCGTGCTGCCGCCCACCCCTCGGCGCCGCGGCCGGATGCGCGTCGGAATCATGGTGAGGGCGCGCCTGGGGACAGAGGCCTCTGGGGGGCAGCGGTGAGCAGCAGTGCCCTTTTTTGTTGATCAGGCTTCGGGTTGCGCACAGACGGTCCCCCCAGGCTGTCCCCGCTGGGCTCAAGAGGCCCCCCAGGTGGTCTGAGGCGGTCGCAACATCCCAAACCTTGGGCTGCAGCTCCCCATGGGGGGAGGAGGGGGAGGAGGAGGAGGAGGAGGAGGAGGAGGAGGAGGAGGAGGAGGAGGAGGAGGAGGAGGAGGAGGAGGAGGATGGCGGAGGAGGAGGAGGAGGAGGAGGAGGAGGAGGAGGAGGAGGAGGAGGAGGAGGAGGAGGAGGAGGAGGAGGAGGAGGAGGGGAGGAGGAGGAGAGGAGGAGGAGGAGGAGCCTGACCGCCCTGGGCTCCTCGGGGGGGGCTTGCTGAGGCCAGCCGGGGCTGCCTGGGGCCGTGGCGGCCCCGGCCGCCCTGCGCGCAGCTCGAGGCCCTGCCTCCCCTGCGGAGAGGCCTCGGCCGCCGAGGCCTCTCCCCGGGGGGAGGCGGGGCCTCTCCCAGGGCGGTCAGGTCCTCCTCCTCCTCCTCCTCCCCTCCTCCTCCTCCTCCTCCTCCTCCCCTTCATCCCCTCCCCCCCCCCTCCAGGCCTTCTCGCCCAGGAGTCGTTTCCAGTGGACGGCCCGGGGGCCCGAGGCGCCCTGACTCCGGATCCGCCCTACTTTGGCCCTGACTCCGGATCCCCGGGGGGAGGCGGGGCCTCTCCCAGGGCGGTCAGGTCGATTCTGCTGTGGGCAGGCCTCCCCACCCAGACCCCCTCGAGCAATGAAAAAATCACGACGGGAGGTTTTTCTCTATTTTTGGCCTTTGGGGGCCCTTACCGGCCCTCGGGAGCGTCAAAAAACGACTCAGGACGAAAAACCGGTCCCGGGGAATGGGTCGAGACCTCGGGGGGTCGACGTCATGAAAAAAATCATGACGTCGGGGGTCCGGGCAGGGCCGTTAGGCCGCGGCCTCCACAGGCCTCGTGAGGGGCAGCGGGGAGGTCCGCGGTGCCTCTCGCCCTCCCCCCGCGAGGTGATGCTGCACTTCGCGGGCAAGGGCGGGCACAACCCGCCCGAGGCCTTCCAGGGCTGCGCCACGTGGGCGGAGTGCCGGGCGGAGACCTGGCTGGCCCTGTCGCGGGCGAGGGACGCCGGACTGGTGCTTGGACAGCCCGGACTTCCAATCCGCCGTGTGTTGGGCTACTTCGCAAGCAGGGTTTGGGATGCAACTCCTGGGAGGTCAAATTCTGATTTTGCACTGGTCCGAAGTCCAGCTTAATCCCGCTTAATCCGGCTTAATCCCGCTTAATCCCGCTTAATCCGGCTTAATTCTGCTTAATCCGAGGCCCACTCCAGCGTAATAGCTCCCAAATGGGGCTCGATTCTCATTAATTCTTCCGACGAAAACCTCCCAGTAGTTGCCTCCTAACAGGGTATCAGTTTTTGCCTTGCTTTTCGCCCTACTTTGCCATCGCTGTTTCCGTCATGCTTTTGTGAAGATGGCTCCCTCACGTTTCTGGGGCAGAGGTATCCGCCCTACTTTTTGTGTCCTGCGAGGTTCATTTCCAACACAGCTCTACGTCGCAGAACCAACCAAAGTATGACGAATCCCGAGTGAGGGACACAAGGGACAGAATGTTCAGAGGAGGGAAGTGTACCAATACCGCTTCCCTTGCCTCGTTTTCGCCTTTTTGAAAACCCTGGGAGGCCCTCGTCGCCACGGCTGGATTCGCTTTGAAATTCTGGTCAGAACGCACCTCGGGATATGTCCGGGGAGTAGAGGTATCAGTACCCTTTTGTTTGTCCACAATGCGGCGACCGTGTCCAAGGCTGAGCGTGGAAACGTGGGTGTCGATCTTGGCCGTCGCCCATACTTGTCATCGCAAATTCATGGATCACCCTCGCGAGTCGGCGACGGCTGGCATGCACCATGATCAAGATCGGCGCCGACGAGATCCCGCCACATCTTGGCCAAGGGCATCTTGTCTCTTCCCTCGGCATGAAGCGCAGCCTTGGCGGCCAAGAGAATCTAGGCCTCCCAGACGGGGTCCGAGCAGATGTGGTCGGAGGATCGCGCCGCATCGCCGATGCATCGGCGACGCGGCTCGATGCGGAGCCCGATTTTCTTCGCGCAGACGTCGCCGATGCATCGCCGACGTTGCCGATGCATCGCCGGCGCATCGCCGATGCATCGCTGATGTAGCGCCGATGCATCGGCGATGCGGCGCGATCCTCCGACCCCATCTGCTCCGACCCCATCTAGGAGGCATCTCGAGAAGCGTCTGGCAAGTTCGGGCCACAGCTCCGCTCCCCGGCGACCGCTCGGGGCGACCTTCGCACCCCGAGGCCGCTGTCGGCGAGGCGCAGCTACCGGAGAGCGCCCCGAGGCTGGAAAACCGTCGAGGGAGCCAGCGAGAAGCGCAGGAAGACCTCGAAGCCCGAGCCTGTCGGCCCCCCCATATTGTGGTCCCCGTGCTTCCTCTTGGTGGTCCCCAAACGTGGTGGTGAGAACACCCGGTGGTGAGTTTTGGGCGATTTGGGTAATGGTTTTCGAGCGCTGGCTGGCCCCGGAAACGCAAAACCTCGTGGCGACCGCGTGTCCCCAAACCCAGTGGTGACCCAGAATTATTTTTTGGGGGAATCGGGGTCACCACCGGGTGTCTCACCACCTGGTTTGGAGACCACCAATTCCTCCCCCGAGGTGCGGGACCTGGGCGTGAGCAACTTCGGCCCCAGGCCTCGGCATCGTCTACCTCATCCCCCTCCCCAGCGGGCCGCGGTTAGGGGGCCACATGCGAACCCTACCCCTGCCCCCCACGATTTCTGAGGGGGAGGGTGGGGTGCACTTCGCTCTGGGAGCTCCCCACGCTTGTGGGGGAGCTCCCGAGCGAAGCCAGTAGGAGATAGGAAATAGGGGGATCGAGGAGGATCGAGAGGAGGAGGAGGAGGAGGAGGACGAGGACGAGGACGAGGAGGAGGACGAGGAGGAGGATCGAGGAGGACGAGGAGGACGCATGTGGCCCCCCAACGGTAACTCAGCCCCACGAGCCCACCCTCATGGCCGGTGACGGGCCCCGCGAGACCCGAAGGAGCATGCACCTCATGTCCCCCCCACCTGGGGGGCAGTCGGCCACTGGGGCGACCGAGGCCATGCCAGTGGGGCTGGGGATCGGTTGAACTGGATTTAAGTCGGGCCTGTCCCCCTAGAGGGGGATTTTCGACGAAGAATTATTTAAAAAATAGTTCAAAAATATGTTGGGAACTATTCTTTTAGTATTTCTTTACCTTTTTGGTGTATTTTTGGACTATCTTAATTTTTCGTCGAAAATCTCCCTGTAGGGGGACACGCCCGACATAAAACTGGATCACCCCGCGGGGGCGCGCAGCTAATCGCGCTTCGCGCGTCGCGGTCTGGGCCAGAACGGCTGCCCCTCGCCCAGGGGGCGGTGCGCGGGCGGGAGGGCGTGAAGGTCGCCTCGCGCATCGCAGGGCGCGATGCGCGAAGCTGGGTGGCCCGGATTCAACGGCGCTCAAGGCAGATCCAGGGCCTCACTGACCTGGGGGCGGCGCCGGTGGCGGTGGCGCAGCTGGAGTACCACCCCTGGATCCCCGAGGTGCACCGCTCCACGGTCGCCTTCTGCCAGCAGCGGGGCATCGCGGTGCAGGAGGGGGATGGGTGGGGATGGGTTCAGGGGGGGGGGGTAATGAATCAGCAACACTCCCCGCCCACGCACAATTCAAAATTGGCACGTTGACGCAGTACCCCTCGGGCACTCAGATTCAGAATATCCGAAACCGACGCTGCATTCGGGCGGGAAGGAGTTCAGCCCAGATGTTTTGCGCGAGAGCTGCACCTGGGGGGATGGGCTCAAGGGGGGAGGTTCGAGGCTCGAGGCCTGCAGACACCGCGGGCTCGACGCCTTGGGTCTCCGCGCGCCTCGTGCCCCCTTGCGCCACCGCGTGGACAACGGAGTTCAGAGGCGTGCGGCGCCGCCGACAGTGTCTGCAAGGATGGGGCCTGGCCAGTGCGGCCTGGCGACGTGCGGCTGTATTGGAGGAGCCGCGGCCAAGCTCGAACGGTTCCTGGCGGTTTTCTGGCCTCGCTGTGCCTTTCGGCAGCTGCGCTTGGCCGAGAGCGTTCCGGGGGTGCCCGGATCGTCCCGAACGGCCGCCGGAGAGCCGAGCGATGACCCGAAAGCTGAAGAGCGGAATGGTTGTCGATGATCCACACAACGCGTGTTAGCCGAATATTTAGATAACCCCCCTCACCTCCGCCGAAAATTCGCAGCCCTTGACAACCTTCATTGCGCTGGCGCAAGTGTTGCGGGGCCCTGTCGAAGCTCGCAGGCGTCGTCTCTTCGATGCGGCGCGCCTCATGCCTTTAATAATTCGAAAGCTAACCCTCAGCTCCTTCTTCCTCTGTGATCCCAATGTTTCCTCCCTCCTCCTTCGCCCTTCTCTTCATCCTCCTCCTCCCTCCTCTACTCAGCCGTGTGAGGGCATCTATCCTCGTCTTCCTCTCCCCTCCCCCATCTCCTCTTCCTCTTTCCTCACCTATGGTTGGTTTCTCTTGTTGCTCCTCCGCTTCTTCTTTCCTGCTCCGCCCATTGTGGCATCTCCCATTATCCCTCCTCATGCCTCTCCTCCCTTTCCGTCCTTACGTCATCGGTCCTTCTCCACCTCCGCCCCCATCTTCCTTTACTAAGACTGGTCGTCCTGCTCCCCCCTCTCCTCCTCTTCCTTCCGTTTCTCCTCTTTTTTACCCTCCGCTTCTCTCTTCCGCCTCCTCCGTAGTATTCCCCATCCTGTTCATCCTCTTTCTCATCCTCTCCTGTTCCTACTAGGCCAGGTGGTGGTGCCCAATCCTGCTCTTCCTCCTCGGAGTCCTCCCCTGTCCTCTTTCCTTTACCCGTTCCTTCCGCATGTCCTCCTGCTTCTTCCCTTCCTTCCCCTTTATATGCTGACAGTGAGTGCAAATTACCGACGCAACTTTCCGTTACTGACGTAACCTTCTCCGTCTGAAACGATGATTGTTGACGTAGGGGTAGCACAGTTTTTTTCGGTCGTTCAGAGGAGCCAACGTAACTTTCCGTTAGTGGCGTACATTCTCCGTTGGTAGCATAACATCCCCATTAATATCGTAGACGTTCCGTCGGTTACGTCAGTTTCGTCACTTTCTTGCGTGGCCCTCGTTGTTAGGTCCGTCCTTGCACATTGGGCCGAGGCATTGCAAAACTAGCAGTGGAGTCACATCTTCGGCGTCGGTTGCGTCGGCCTCTGTTATCGGAAGAAGGGATTGGAGGAGACAGTGCGGAAGATGAGGAGGAAGGATGGTGTCTCCGACGATGGTGGTGATGATGATGCTGATGATAAGTAATGGTGATGCTGATGATGATGCTGCTGATGATGCGGATGCTGATGCTGATGCTGCTGAGGATGCTGCTGCTGCTGCTGCTGCTGCTGCTGCTGCTGCTGATGATGATGATGATGATGATGATGATGATGATGATGATGATGATGATGATGATGATGTTGAGAATGGTCACGGTGATGATCATGCTGGGGCTGGCCCCCCTGGGGCCCGCTGTCCCCCCCCCCCGCCTGAAGGCGGAGGGGAGCGCCAAGGAGGGCCGAGGATGAGAGGGGCGTGGCACAGGGAGAGTCTGGTCTACTCTGTAAGAACGGTTTTTTGAAGGCAGACCTGCCTTCAAAAAAGAACGGTTTTTTGAAGGCAGATCTGCCTTCAAAGTAAGAACGGTTTTTGAAGGCAGATCTGCCTTCAAGGAACGGTTTTTTGAAGGCAGATCTGCCTTCAAAGAACCGTTCTTGCAGAGGAGCGCGGAGGAGCGGAAAAAAGGAGTGCAGACAAAAGGGCGACGGAGGGGAGGAGCGCGGAGGAGCGAGGAGCGCGCCGGGCGCCCGGGCGGCGGAGGAGGGAGAAAGGAAGGCAGGCAGGCAGGCAGGCAGGCAGGCAGGGAGGGAGGGAGGAGGAGGAGGAGGAGGAGGAGGAGGAGGAGGAGGAGGAGGGAGGGAGGAGGGAGGGAGGGGGGAGGGAGGGAGGGAGCGATGGAGCGAGGGAGCGAGGGAGCAAGGGAGCAAGGGAGCGAGGGAGCAAGGGAGCGAGGGAGCAAGGGAGCGAGGGAGCGAGGGAGCGAGGAGAAGGAGGAGGAGGAGGAGGAGGAGGAGGAGGAGGAGGTCAGCACCGACCCTGGCGCGCTCCGCGCACCAGGGAGGGGGGGTCCAGCGCCGATCCAAGAAATCCACGCGGCCCTTCGAACGTGTTATGTTTATGTAGTTGTTCGCGCTCCTCTTGGGGAATGGCTGGTGGTCACAGGGACGGTGAAGCCAGGGTAGACGAACTGAAGTGAGCAGGCTGAGGCTTCGTTCTTCGCGCAGAGCCCGATCGTTGTCGGCGCTCTTGCTGGCGGGCCCCCTGACTTGATAGCCCAACCGAGGTCAGGAGGGAAGGAGGAGGTCAGCGGCAATGACAGGAGGGTGCTGCTTCAGGGGGGAAGCATCGAGCCCCGATCTCTCACAATTCGCCAATCTCGAGGAAACGCAGACATGGATTGAGGCGCGTGGTTCATCGACGGGTCCAGTCGCAGGCGGCATCGGGCCCATGTTTCGGGGGGTGCTTTCTCTGATCCGTGGATCTGGCGCCCACGCGCCAGATTCACGCATCCTGCATCCATGTTGGCGTGTGCCTGGTCTGGGGGGAACCATCCACCCCGAAACCCGCTCGTCGCCAATCGGGGCCTGGGCCCCCCCACCCCGCCCAGGCATGTGCGGTTCCGCTATCAGGGGCCTGTCGCCGATGCATCGGCGATGCATCGTCGATTTGAATCCTCCTCCACCTGCTCCTCCTCCTCCTCCTCCTCCTCCTCTTCCTCCTCCTCCTCCTCCTCCTCCCGTTGACCGAGCCCCCAGCGCTCCGAATCGGCCCAGGGGGTCAGACCCCTCGATCCCGGAGGTTGGTTGACGAAGAGGCATCCAGGATGAGGGATCAAAAGTTCCTCCGGAGTGGAGGTCGAGCCTTCGGCGAAGGCTCGACCTCCATTCGCCAGGTTGGGCCGTATGCCAGATTGCTCCTCAAATGCTATATATTATGTTGGGGCCGTTTACCAGATTGCCAGGTTGGCGCCAGACTGGCTCTCGCCAGATTAGATCAGATCGACTCCCTCGCCAGATTGCCAGATTGGACCCGCCAGATTGGCGCCAGATTGGCTTCGACTACCCAGTTCGCTGTTTCGACCCTCGACAGGGAGCAGGGAGGTTGGGAGGGAAGGGGGAGGAGGAGGAGAAGGAGGACCTCTTACTGGGAGGGGGAAGAGGATCGGGGGAGGGGGAGGGGACCCTGAGATCCGACGTCGTGAGAATTGCAGCATCGCGCAAGAGCATGACCAAGCCCCAGGCCCTACCTTTGTGCGGCATTTGTCGTTGTCGGGCCCGATCGATCTGCGATGGTCCGGGGGCTCGAGACGGGGCGAGAACGCCCGGTGCTCGCAAAGTCGCAGCGCCCGACGTCGTGTCTTTTTTAGGGGGGGGTCACAGCGTGCCTCCCCGGACGTCTGGCACCTCATCCTCCTCATCCTGGGCCGTTTCTTGGCGGTCCCGGGGCCCGCCGGGGGCCCTGGGGGGCCGAAGCTGGCAGGGGGAAACAGAGTCCCGTTTTGATTTCAGTCACCTCGCGGAGAGGGGTGTAGTGAGGGGGGGAGGCTGCCCCGGAAGGCCACAGATTGGCAGTATGTATCTCTCTCTATATATATATATGTATGCATACATACATATGCTACACATATATATATATATACACATACATACATACATACATACATACATACATACATACATACATACATACATACATACATACATACATACATACATACATACATACATACATACATACATACATACATACATACATACATACATACATACATACATACATACATACATACATACATACATACATACATACATACATACATACATACATACATACATACATACATACATACATGCATGCATGCATGCATGCATGCATGCATACATACATGTGTATATATATATATATATATGTATCCTCCTCCTCCTCCTCCTCCTCCTCCTCCTCCTCCTCCGTGCCCGCCCTTGCCCACGAAGTGCAGCACCACCTCGGGGGGAGGGAAGAAGCCACCACCCGAAGATCGAGAGGAGGATCGAATACCGGCTGTCGAGGGGAGGCCTATGGCTCCATGGGCAGCACGCCGAAGAAGGACGAGTTCCTCACGGACGAGCGGCTCCGGGGCATCGCCAGCGGCCACAACAGGTCCGTCGGCCAGGTGCTGCTCCGCTGGGCGGTGCAGCGCGGCGTGCACGTGATCCCCGGGAGCTCGCAGCCCGACCACATCTCGGGCCGGGCGAAAGGTGGGGTTGGGAAAGGGGGGGGTACGAAATTTGCTGCACGCAGCTGGGTTCGGCCTCACCGAGGGGCCCATTCCTCGATACATGGCCGCCTCCGTCGCCGAGAGGCGCCGGGAAAATCAGCTACGTGCCCAGACCTCCGACGTCATGATTTTTTCATGGAGGTCTCGACCCATTCCCCGGGACCGGTTTTTCGTCCTGAGTCGTTTTTTGACGGTCCCGAGGGCCGGTAAGGGCCCCCAAAGGCAAAAAATGGTGAAAAACCTCCCGTCGTGATTTTTTCCTAACTCGAGGGGGTCTGGGTGAGCTGATTTTCCCCCCCCCCCTTTGCTATCCCCCCCTTTCGCCCGACCCGAACATCGGGAGGGCCAGAGGGCGGCACTCAGCAGCGGGAGACCCTCGAGGTCATTCGGGCGCGTCTGCCGGCTCCTGGGCGTGCCCTCCCCTCGGGATGCGCTCCAGCGGTTGCGCCTCTAGGGGGCCACATGCGAGCCCCACCCTTACAGTCGGGGCCCTGAAGAAGGAACCCTTTTCGTTGGGGAGGGGCTCCGCGTTCCTGAAGTGTTTCACAGCTTGCCTCAGGTTTTCCTTATGTTTCCGATAGGGGGCCACATGCGAGCCCTGGCCCTACCCCCCGCGATTTCTGAGGGGGAGGGTGGGGTGCACTTCGCTCGCCCGGTGTGGGCCCCCCCAAGAGCGCCCGCGTGCACCAGGAGCGCCAGGGGAGCAGCCCGTGTGGAAGGGCCTGATAGGGGGCCACATGCGAGCCCCACCCCTGCCCCGCACGATTTCTGAGGGGGACGGTGGGGTGCACTTCGCTCGGGCGCTCCCGAGCGAAGTGACCCCCACCCTCCCCCTGAGAAATCTTGGGGGGTGGGGTAGGGTTCGCATGTGGCCCCCTAGCCTCGCCGAGGCCGCCAGAGGCCCGAGCTATCCCGAGCTATGGCCCGAAGATCAAAGAGCAGCGTCGGACCCCTGAGATCCAGGCGTTGAAGTTGTTGCACACCTGGCGTTCTTGCCCTGTTTCGGGCCCCGGGGCCATCACAGATCAATCCAACTCATATCGTGTGCCGGGGAGTCGACAGGCAACCCTGCCGCAGGACCGTCATCGCCCTTGCCTCCCGAGTGTGACCTGCGGGCGGAAAGGACGCGTCTGGGGGCCATGCCGACTCCCCGGCACACGATATGCGAGATGGAAAAATCAATCCAGCTCAAAACATGCAGCAGAAAAGATGAGGTCCAGGGCTCCGGTCGCGTTTCTCTTGCGATGTCCTGCTTTTTCGCGTGCTCGCAGCCCGACCACACTGGAGGACCAAGAGCACGACGAAGAGAAGAGTCGGTACGCTGGAGTAGTCGAGGAAGCGCAGGCAGGGACTGAGGCGCGTGGATTTGCGACTGGTCCCGCTCCCGTAATTTTGAGTCGGGCGTGTCCCCCTACAGGGGGTTTTTGGACGAAAGACAAAAAAGACCCAGACAATGCCCCAAAGATCTTCAAAACTAGTCCAAACATCGTCCCCAGACTGTTTTTTATTACTACTTTTGAGTATTCTTCCTGTAGGAGGACAGGCCCGACTAAACCGTGGTTCCAGAGTCGGCGCGATCCGTCAAAACATCGTCCCCGGACAATTTTTTTTATAGCATTTTTGGAATATTCCTCCTGTAGGGGGACAGGCCCGACTAAACCGTGGTGCCAGAGTCGGCGCGCTCCGTCGCCATGCCAGGCTGCGTTGGCCTCGTCTTTCGGGGGATATCGCAGGCCTAGAGGTTGACACCAACACCAATATCGGCGGTGTTCCTCCACCGAGGGAAGAAGATCCCGATCTCGGTGATGGTGGTAATATTCTGGCTGCCAGGGTGACCAAAATATTACCACCAACACCGAAATCTAGGATCATCTCCCCCCTGTGGAGGCAGCCCCCTGTCTTGGTGTTGGTGCCCATTTCCAGGCCTCCTAGGGTATACCTTTTCCGATCCGTGGGCATCGAGGCAGCGGCGGCCCCCCCCCCCTTGCGCTCTGCGCCCCTTGGACTTCGGGGCCTCTCCCGGAGGCTTCTCGTTGCCACGGCTGGACCCGCGTCGAAAAGTGTGTCGGGATGGGCGCTCGAGAGCTTAGGCCCTACAAGCCTCGTCAAAAATGAACAGAAACAAAGTTGGAAATCACGACGATCGATCTTCTCGGGCACTTGTTAGAAACTGCGTTCTTCAACGCTGCGGAGGTGTCGTCGGATTTTGGAAGCCCTTGCGTCCACGTCAGATATCTAGCGTCAGCATTGGAGTAGCGCTGACCATACAATCACCGAAAACATAATCCCTCAGTTTATTTTTGACGAGGGTTGTAGGCTGCGACCATCACTTCACCCAACTTGCGAACATGTCGCCCATTTCTCTGCATGCGAATATACATCGCCCATGCAGCGTGGAGCTCTTGCACCGTCACACGGACAGCAACTCGGGACGAGCACCTTGTCCTGGGACGGGGCCCTCGAGTTCGGCTTGCCGGTCGAGGTGCTGAAATCTGGGAAGGGGCTCGGGGACCGATCTTGAGCGGAGGTGTGCCGGGCGGGAGGGCCGCCGCTGGCTCGGCCGGGAGAGTCGCCCGGCAAGTCGCGGTAGTACAGTGCCGTTTTTGTATACATTCGGGGGAAAACAAACCTACCTCGCTTTTGACCACCCTCGCTTCCAAGAGATACCAAACGATGCCAAATCGCGGCCTGTACTGGTCAGGCCGCTTGACGAGGAGGCGCGTGGTATGGCTTGGTTTTGCCTGGAAGCGAAAGCGGGGGAGGTAATTCACGCTTTGATACATGCTCCGCGTGCGGATCATGTATGACAAAATGCAGGGATCTAGTATTAAAAACAACGATGAGGTCATGCATCAATTCATTCATACATAATCCTGTATTGGAAATCCTGTATTAACAAAAAAAATCCGATGTATGAAACATTGCCCTGTAAGGAGCAGCTCGGGCTCGGAGGGGGCTCGCTGTGCCTCAGGTAGGGGGCCACGTGCGAACCCTACCCCTGCCCCGCACGATTTCTGAGGGGGGGGGTGGAGTTCACTTCGCGCGGGAGCGCCCGAGCGAAGTGCACCCCGCCCTCCCCCTCAGAAATCGTGGGGGGTAGGGGTAGGGTTCGCACGTGGCCCCCTTATCAGGCCCTTCCACACGGGCTGCTCCCCTGGAGGAGGAGGAGGAGGAGGAGGAGGAGGAGGAGGAGGAGGAGGAGGGGGCTCGCTTTGCCTCAGGCCCTTCCACACGGGCTGCTCCCCTGGCGCTCCTGGTGCACGCGGGCGCTTTTGGGGGGGGCCCGAACCGGGCGGCCTCGGTCCCTCCTCGGCGTCCCCGATGGCAGCAGCGCGACCGTACAGCGGGCGCTGTCGGGCAGGAGGTCGGCCTGCCAGCGAGTGCCCCGCGGGGATCTGCGACCCCGCCGACGTCGACGTCGTCGTCGTCGTCGTCGTCGTCGTCGTCGTCGTCGTCGTCGTCGTCGTCGTCGTTCGGCGGCGAGCGAGGGGGGGAATTGAGAAGGAGAAGGCCTTCTCAGAAGGCGGCGGGACTTCTCAGAAGCCCGCGCGCCTTCTGAGAAGCTGCGACCCCCCCTGATCGGCCTGGAGGCTCGCAGACGCTCAGAGCCCCGGATCATCAGGGGTAGCTCGGGTCAGGGCTAACTCGGGTTCCCTTTTCGGGAGTCCGAGCCCGACTTACCCCGGACCCGACTCACCCCGGATAGTTCGGGCGTCCAGAGCCCCGAATCATCAGGGGGAACTCGGGTCAGGGCTAACTCGGGTTCCTTTTTCGGGAATCCGAACCCGACTTACCCCGGACCCGACTCACCCCGGATAGTTCGGGCGTCCAGAGCCCCGAATCATCAGGGGGAACTCGGGTCAGGGCTAACTCGGGTTCCTTTTTCGAGAATCCAAACCCGAGTTACCCCGGACCCGAGTTACCCCGGATAACTCGGGCGCCCAAGACGCCCTGCACCACCCCAGGAAGTTCTACGATCGACGACAACTGCGCCCCAAAATGTCTGAGAGCACGAGTTCCCACCGTACATACGGTAAGGGGCGTTCGTTAAGGAATGGGCCCAGGTGGTTCCCAACCCGGAGGATCCCTTATCTGAGAAAGGCGGCGGTGGTACCCATGACCAAGCCTCAATTGGCGTCCCACCGGCTTCGAGACCCTGGCTTCCTTGGCTAAGGATTCGTCATCCAAGGCCCTCACCGTATGTTATTATCGGCGGCCAGCCCGTGGGGGAAGTGAGAAGCGGCGGGCCTTCTCAGAAGGCTCGGAAGTCCCCGGGCCTTCTGAGAAGTTGTTTCTGTCTTCTCCGAAGGCGCAGCAAACTCTTCAGAAGGCCGGAGGGCTGCTGAGAAGGTCCTCCGCCTGAGAAGGCCGTCTCCCTCCCACTCCTCCCCTCGCTCGGCGCCGATACGGTAGAGGGAACCAATTAGTGAACACCCCCCCTGCCCCCCAAACTCAAGGTTGGCACGCGCGGGGGAGACCGCGGTCGAGGTGCAACTCATCAGACCCACCGCCAACTTTGAACAATTGGGGGGAGGGGGAGGCGTTCACAGATGAATGTGGCATGAGTGTTTGCTATTTTTCTCCGAGGCCTGTATGTGGTGCGAGCCGCCCGCAAGGGGACCCGCGAGCGGGCACCAGGCGAAATCTCGGCACACCCAGACGAGGAGGAGGAGGAGGAGAAAAAGGAGGAGGAGGAGGAGAAGAAGAAGGAGGAGGAGAAAAAGGAGGAGGAGGAGAAGAAGGAGGAGGAGGAGGAGGAGAAAAAGGAGGAGGAGTGTTCGCTATTTTTGTTCCGAGGCCTGTATCACCCACTGTGAAGTACCGACCTTCCGAGAGATCCGCGCGGATTCTCTCTCTGGGGTGGTCGGCGCCGGGCCCCCCCCGTCGCATCCCCCCCCTCTCTCCCGCGCGCGGGGCGCGCCAGGGGCGGGGCGGCGCCGCAGGGGGGGGGGGGGGGGGGGGCTGCGGGGGGG